TCTAGAATACACGTAGATGTGAACCTAAGCTATCCTAACAAACATCCATATCTACGATTCTGTAGAACTATTTAGGGTACATCAACTGGTACAGTTGGTTTCCGACTGCAAAGCATCGTCAATACCTTCCCAACTGACTATTTCCGAGGCAAGTTAGCTCCCACTTCACCGTCTGACTAGGTCATGACTATTTCAGCAATATATACAATGCCTCTTGCGTGGCTTCTCTTGGGCCTAGAGTGCTAAAATTTTCACAATTTAAAACGAGGAAGGAAAAACGAATGGAATCAGAGAATTTTTATCCACATTAGGTTTTCTGGAACGAAGTACTAGTACTTTTTTGGGTGAATTGTTCCACTGATCTAGAATAAGTATTATAATATCAGTTCTACTGGGTTTCGAAGTCAATACTTTACTGTTAGGTAAATTAATTGGCTGGGCTTCATTCTTTAGGAATTTTATCCAAGCTTGGACGTGCAAATGCCATTAATACTACTGAGGTTCCAAATTCTTTTGTTATCTTACTTAAGTCGGACACCATTGGCTAGAAAATATCCATCTCTTGTAGACGAGGAAAAACTCCCTCACTCCTTGGACGTAAAACGAATGTGGCTGAGGATTTATAGCTGTCATGTGCCTAGTCTATCATTAATTAGCCCCTGCCGTTTTTGTCATTTTGAGCAGCAATGACGATGCATTAAGAGGTCGTGATTTAACGGAAAGAATCTCATTTATATCCCTTTCTAATGTGCTCTCTGAACTTCTCAGCACAGGCTAGGTTCCTTCTAATCTTAGCAACATGTACCCCTGTAATAACTTTGGTCAAGTATAAGGACTAATGAAGTGTAAGGCCTTAGAAACTAAATCTCTATCAAACTTGGGTAAACTTACCACTGATAAATAATGAGGGGCATCAGAAATAAACAACGAATTGGGTATTTGTAGTTCTTGAGCCAAAACTGATGATTAAAAGTTCAGTAAAAAGCACGAGTGCAAAAACCTCAGGTCATTTGTGGTTCAAATGTTTTGCTCATTTCCTTAAAACTTTGCCCCTATCATCGGCTAAAGGGAGCTTTGTATAACTTCCACAATTCGGTCCACCTCAATCAAGTAGAGTGTAAAGCAGTGCATGGTGCTCTAGCGGTAGTTTTTAACTACGTAAAACATGCAATGAAATATGATTTCAAATGGAGCATGCTATGATGCCCCAACACTGAGTAAAAAGACCGAATATGAAATTACTTTAGTTAGGAAATCCTCCAACTAATACCAAAGCGAGTTTTCAAGATCAAGAACACAACTGGAGTATGGCAGATATCACGATGTATTTGAGGTACATTTCAGTTGAAAACAATCATAACTCACAGTTCTAAAGGCCTAACACGTACCATATCTCTTACAATTGCTATGGGATACGGCTGAAAGATACATGACATAGAAGTATTCACAGTAAAAAAGATAATAGCGAAGTTAAGGAGGTAGGAGGATGGGGAAATGTAAGTCAGTGAATGCAGTGATTCTACAGGGGCTCTAATAGGAGATGTCTTCTCTTCTTTGTTCGAAAAAAGGTTCGCATGCCACTATGAGTTCAAGGGCCTTGTGGCTGCAGCTGCAATTGCGGCGGCACCCTTTCCACTGCCATCCTCAGAGAGCCTCAATCGGAACTGAAAGCAAGAAATAGGGAAGGGAAGAGGATACTTGTAAGTTAGATCGAAAAATCCTCAGAAATGGCGCATGCCTTAGCCTTCCTGTTCGCGCATTTCTGCTTTTCGCTGGCCAATTAGAATACTGCTTACGTGACGCGCGAGCAAAAGGAAACAGTACATTTCTAGAGGGCACTGAAACTATTCGAATACATACTATTTATTTATACTTAATTAGGGAACACATGATGCCATCTAAATGCAAGGCCCAGGTAGAATGCTTTTAACACTTACCTTCACGAAGTCCGGCTTCAATTTATCAATAATATCTGTCATGCGTTCTCTGAATCTTGGGTGGAATTTGTACAATGATCCGTCAATGCCAACGGTAACCTGAGGACGATTTAATTTGTGCATCAGTGCCGCAATACCTAGGGATGTAGATAATGACACAGATTACTCTTTCAAGTATACACACCAAAGCCAAAATATCAAAGTTTTGAAAAATCACCGGCTCCAGCAAGGTAAGCGGCCCTTTTGGAGATGCATTCACATGCCAGACGGACCACACGATCATCGATTGGATCCACAATGGGTAATTTTAGGTCCTCTGTCAAAACGGAATGGGTGCTATAGAACAGATGGGGTGGATCACTAAAAAAGAATAAATAAGTTTATCAATTTGTCACAAAAGTCTAATTAATGTGATTAACTCATCTGCACTCACCGCTCAGTTTCAGTGATCATTTTAGTGAGAAAACCGCCTTGGTGCAGCAATTGATCAGGCATCTCACCTCTGAACAAAAGTCGCCTTTTCACAAGGTGCATCAGAACAATTCGGACAAGTTCACCCAGATACATGCCTGAAACCATCTTTTCAAATCTGAAAGCGGAAAAGTGATAGGTTAGAGCATGTCAGTTTGATAAAATGAAGGATAGCTTTTGTAGAAGCATACATTTGCTTTCCAGGATGAAGGCTTTCATGATCTAACTCGAGATCAAAGTCGGTGAGATAGGGCTGAAGTTCACCCTTTTCCCCAAATGCTCCCCACTCAAGATTGATTATGACACTGTCCTCCATCTTGGAGCGTTGAACTGGGTTTACACTTTCCATTTTCTTCATAAACTCAACGGCCTCAATCTTCTCGATGTAAGCAGCATTTGTGCCAGTTCCTGTCGCAGAAAGAGATAGGTGTTAATTGATGCTTCGTAATATTAAAAATAAGGTTATTTTAGCTTACCGACAATCAAACCGATAGCACATCGGGGATCCTCCAGAGCACATGAAGCTAACGTTCCAACAGTATCATTCACAACCGCAACACATCTTACTTTAAGGCCCTAAAGCAAGAAAATATTTTTAGTACATGAGGTGCAATAATGGCGCAATCAGTCGAAAGCAGTGGAAATTACAATTTCGTCCGTGGCTGTTTGGAGCAATTTGGCCACATCTGAGTGGACAGCATCCATGACGTTAAAACCTTTCGTCCACCTAACGAGAATAGATTTGTCGATAGCGTGTTGTTCGCAGGGGAAAGAAAAAGTAAAACCTAGGGGAAGACTCTTATCCTCAAGTCCGTAACGTTTGAGGAAATTTTGGAGTGTCGAAGCAATATATCCGAAGAGCTAAAGCCTGATAAAATCACAAAAACACCTACCTCCTTGCTCGTACCAAGCATTTTCTTTTGCGGAATAGCATATGTTCGTTCATCAATCTTGGGATGTTGGCCATCGCCAGCAAGCGTTACAAGGAGTACACGATAGTTGGTACCACCAAGGTCCAAAGCAAGAAACTGTCCCTTTTCTAAACACAGAGTAAGACTAGAAAGGATAACCTCCTCCACTTGGAAATCGAGTGACGAATGAAGGGAACATTTTGATAGACGAAGTTTCCCTTGTTTTCAACTTGAGTCCGCGTACCATTGCATCGATAATTTTGTCTCTTATATTTACATAGTCATCAATCTTTAACATCAAAGGTTCCAATATTTTCCCGACCTCCTCGAAGATTTCATCGTCAGAGAACTCCATTTTCACCTGTTTGGTCCAACCAGAGATTCAACTCCTTTTATACTACCGCTAGTGACACGACATGAGATGCAAATTGATCAGATAAAACAAGAGTAAAGGAAATTGCATAAAATTGTTTGCAATACTCTATAAAAATTTATAATTCTTTTAATTGCACCTATGCAGATAGTTCTATGATAAAGGGAAACCTAGTCCATATTAAGAAGCTGCTTAATGTTATCAAGGCACATATTTGTCAAGATAATATGCTAAACTAATAAACTCACCCAATCTTTTACTCTTTTATTAAGTTTGGTAGACTAAGCACAAAACAGGCACTGCTGGCATATGAATAAGCTCCTCTGACAACCAGAACTTAGACACAATTTTGAGGGCAATAATTTAAAATGACCAAAGTGTCGGGAAGCCTTGTCTCGGATCTTGAAATCAGCAACACACTTTAGGAAACATGGACTATAACATAAGTTCAGGATTCCTTTCGAGTGATTTTAGTATGAGTTGCTTTGCAAGAGCGCATCAGTAGTGAATTCATTTGAGACACACTGACCGGAGAGATATTATATTTCCAGTACTCATATTTAAATTACACACTTCAGTGTTTTGCCTTTTATTTTTTGGCCACTATCAAAGATGTTTTAGCTATTGCGAATGTTATTTTTATCTAGAACACTCTTTCACTGTGTCGAAAACTGACCAGTGGATAGTAGAGCATATTGCATAAAATCAATCACACTTTATGATGAATTTAAATCTCTTCCTTCAAGAAAGAGATCAAGCTCATAGATTTACCAAATTATTTAACATTCACTGTTTTATAAAATATGAGCTAAACGAAAACAAGAGGTAATATATATTGATAAGACCTCTGCAATTTTTAATTATAAAACACTTCGTCTCTTCCCTTAATCCATAGAAGAATATGAATACGATACGTCTTCTCTCCAGTAGTTGATATATTAATGTAAACACTTACTATGTGCCAGGTTCTCTGATATATTATCAAAGAATAGTATTGACTGCGCGGACTCTTCACCTCCCACAGACTGGGGTTTCACCCTGGGAGATGGTCCTCTGACCATGTCAGTAGCCTTGCAGCTCTTCTATATCCCGATAATAAGTCTTATCCCATTTATAATGGCTTATAAGGACCCAGAAAAGACTAAAAGCTCAGCACTGGTGGCAGCAGTAAGTCAGTCCGGATCCAAAATTAAATGTCTTCATTTTCGTAGTTAGTTCTATGAACACCCCAAGTAGAAGTTAAGTGGTGCATAATTTTCTTAACTATCTCAAACTCATAATCGGTATGGTGGTATGGTACTCATGCAAAAACGGCTAATAAAGTGAATGAATAAAACTTCCCTCTTGTCTTCACTAAGTGAATGGAATCTAATTAAATGACCAGTCGTTGCTAAAGGCCTAACAAAGTAGCAGGCAAGAAATGATACAATATACTGCTTCCCAAACACTGCATTCAGAGCCGTCTTTTATTAAATTTTTCTTTTTTAAAGCGAATATCCTTAAGAATAGCTATCTGCATACGAAAATTACCTAATGAAGAGCCTCGTCTAGCTTTCAGCAGTATGCGACTGGGACAAAATCTCAAGTACAGTGAAATCGTCCGGATGCATCAGTCGTGTAGAGTCCAAACGTTTTCTTGTCTATAGTGAATTCTGATAACTACTGCACCTAATCCATGGGTGGTTCTTAAGCACTGAGGAGATAAAGGGTATGCCGTAAAATACACTCACCGAAAAAGGACACTTTGTAGCAATTCTATATTTCACACAACTTTATATTTAACTGGCAGGTCATTCCGTCTACGTATATTGCGATTTTGGGTCCTCTACCGATTACGAAAAGAGAAAATGGACCTACCCTAACCACAGTGGACTACTTGACGGAATTAGACGAGATAGAAAATATGCAGACACAAAGCGCTGCAACATTTACTTTTGCTCACACCATTTACGTGATTCGTCAGCACATAGTTCCTGAAACGGTGCATAGCAATCAAGGCGTTAACTTCAAAAAACGTCTTTTTCTTCAATTATGTGCCAACTTTGAGTAATGAACAGGTGGAAAGGACTACTCGTACTCTGATTGAACCGCTGAAGGCTCCCACTGGGGTTATACAACTACAACTGCATTGGGCGGTGTTTTCTTGTATGTAGGGCCAAAGTCCATACATCGACCTGCTCGTCAGCGCTCAAAATACTCACAGATGGTTAAAGAGAGTGCCATCCGATATTGTCTTTCCGAACCCCGGACTCGCAACCAACAATGCGAAAGGGTACATACTGTGACTGCAAAAGGGGATGAGACAAATTTCCACCACTGCACTAGAACCCTAGGCCTGTCATATATTAGTCAGAAGAGATGTCGTAACAAGCAGTCAGCCTAGGGTCAAACCGAGCATTGGACCTAGTACAGCCACGCATGCCTGTTTCGCTAACTAGATTACATCCCAAATTCCATCGTCCTTGGATCAAGAAGTAATTCTGAGTGATGAAAATAATCTCACCAGCGAACCACTTGGTCTACAACACACAACTCCGTACTCGAATAAGTACCACAACAAAATGAGTTCGTACAAAATCGTTTGCCCGCTCGGATACGAAAATAGAGTTTACATTTCTAATGGGAGAAGGGAGACGACTGGAAAATGAACACGTGGTTACCATTCACGAGAAGGAGTATTGAAGACAGTACTTAAAAATGAGGGAAGGTCATGCAAGACGCGTTGTTTGAATGTACCTTCTAGGGGGGAAGCAGTCAGTATAGGCCAACCTCGTGACTGAACAGACACCACTGACTGTTGAGGAGAAGACGAAATCTGCCCTTTCCCATAAATATGATTTTCCATAAACATTTATAACATTTGTTAAATAAAAAATATCCCCTTCTAACCAATTTGCTTGTCCCACTGACATGCAAGCAGGACTGAAGGGGAGATAAACTGAAAGAGCAGCACACGTATTACAGATGTAATGTAATACGTTGGTTTTACCTCTCAGATTTGGCAACGTGGCCACTTAGGTGCTCTCTTTTCGTGCCTTTGCTGAATAGGGTGGTTTATGGGCCATGCCAGTTGTTCCAGTTCTTCCATAGGACCAACATGGATATTCTGCCTTCTTTCAACTTCAAGGAAACCTCGAGGCGCTGCATTAAGTAGGGTGAGTTATTATGTCTTTCGAATACTACTGTGCTTGTAGCATTACAAGTTCCTGTAAACGTAGAAATAAAGGCATTGATTTGGGTGAGTCACAGATTACCCATCAAGTTTTTCAATTTGCTTGTGCAATGTGTAGACGATTGTATTTTTTTGCAAGAATCATCAAGTATTTGCTGCAAGTAGCCACAGAAACTACCAACTTGATTTAACTCCAGAAACCCAACCTAATCTTTCAAATACTTTTCGTTTCATTTCATTCGGCAATGGAAGTGATGCTCGGAGAACATAAGTTCGCAGTCTCACGTACAAAATTGGCCGTCACTCCAAGAAGTGGCAAAAATCCCACAGCAACCCTTTAAATCCTTATTAAAAATGCAAAGACCTGTACTTGTCAGGAAAAAGATTTATTTTACTGTGTTCTGTCCATCAAATACAGTAACGTGTTTTAACCACCCGAGATCCCGTCGCGAATTCAAGATCCAGGTTAATCGGTTGTTCCTTGAATTCGCCTTCCCATTACTTCTACCAACAATGGTAAATCAGCCTTAAAAATCATTCTTTAGACTACAACACTTGCGTCGATTCCTGAAGAGCTGACCAAAAA